ATTGTTTAGTCAGGGGGTGTTGGGTCTGGTTCTGCTTGCGCAGTTGGTGAGAGCCCCAGACCAGGATCCCCTTTCTTTTTGCCACTCCCCAACTCCTCCTCCCCATGTGGTACTGTGTGACCCACCCTTCTATTATCTCCACCTACCTGGTCATCAGCATTCCATCCGGAGCCCCTCCTGCAAAGAGTGGCCTTGGGCTCCTTCCAGTTGGGACCAGGCCCTTAGGTCAGGTCTTCCACCTCAGCCAGGCCCTGGAATCACCAAGGGAACACCATGTTCTCCCAGCGCCTCTTTCTCAAGGGGAAGGCCCAGCTCAAGCACACCCATGAGACCATGATTGCCTGGCCAACCTCAGTATACGCACAGAGGAGGGGACGGGAAGGAGCCAGGATCCTTGTCTGCCCGCACAGTAAAATCTGTGTCTTGTACACGGTGTCTGCCGTATTTCCACTGGCTCATACAGTAGGGCATGGCACATACACGGAGTCCCTTGGGGATGGTCAGAGCAGGCCTGCACGTGTCCCTGCTCAGCTTCAGCATTGAAATGGTGGGGTTGCATGTGACCCTGTCGGCCCACCACCATCCCTGTCAGGCTCCTGCACGAGGGATCTCCCTGATGGCCACTTGGGCCCCACAGAAGCTCGCCTGGGCCCACAAGAGGGATGCTTGGAGGGCTCTGCACATGTAGAGCTTGGGCCTGTGGCCAGCAGCTGGCTGACTTTGCTGGCCAGGGAGGAGGTGCATGGTTACTCAGAAGTGACCATGCTCTGTGAAAGGGGAGAGGAGAGGGCACACGGTGTGAACTCCACCTCTCCTTTTCATTCTAGTTTACCAGGAGCTGATGATGCTCCCTTCGATGTTGAGTGCAGTACATCAGGGATTCCTCTTTGGGGTCAGGTCATCGACTCCATTTTTTTTTTTTTTAACTAGAATATTCATTCTCAAATATGGGAGATATTTGAGGTATTATCTTTAGTCTGCCCCACAAATGTTTGGAGATATGAAGAGTTGGGAGGGGGCGGGATGCCATCAACTCATTGCAGCTGCCCCTTCCAGTTTCTAAGCCTTTACCACTTTATGGGAGCAGACAGCTTCAACTTTCTTCCGAGGACTGACTGGTGAGTTTGAACCACGGACCTTTGAACTAACAGCCCAATGTGGAACCCATTAGGCCACCAGGGAGAGCTTCCTGTTTGAGGGAGATTTCCCTCTAATCTACTGCCCATCTGTCTATGGGGCTTGCTTGTTGTAGTGATGCAACAAGCTACCACCAACACTTCTGATCCCAGGAGGGCCACCTGTTGTGGGCAGGTGTCAGCAGCTTCCAGGTCCAAACAGACTAGGCTCTACTTCCAAAAAGTGACGAGTGAAAAGATCATGGATCAGAACAGGGTACTGTCCCACTGAACTCAGATGTGCCAACGATCGCAAAGACAGCACAAGACCAACCAATGTTTCACTCTGATGCAGCTGACTGAATGGCAGCTAACAGCCACCGCCTTTCAAACTCCTGCTCTCTCCTCTCCACGCACAAACCCATCTACCCCTCCAGACAGGATAATGGTCACTGGTTTTCCTGAAATCTGATCAAGTGGTGAACCCTGGTGGTTTCAAGACTGACATCTGCTTTGGCCTTAGTTATGCCCTTGAATGAGGGGCAGGTAGCAACAGAAGGGCAACATCTGTTGGCTTACAGAAGGGCTAGTGGCACAGCTGATCCAAATCCAGGACCAAGTCACAGTGGGCATGACTAAATGGGGAAGTTGGAGACCAGTGTAGAAAGGGAAACTTGGACTACAGGATCTAAGGAGAGCTCGCCATGGGAGCCTCTGATAAACTGGTCAGGAGCATGGTTAAGAAAGTAATCAGTCCTGAGTTACCTGTTGTTGCCCTGGTTGGATGCCTGGAGTCAGTGCCAACTCATACTGCCCTGTGTAAGAACAAAACACAGCCCATCTTTGCACCATCCTCGCAATTGCTATCTTTGAGGTCATGGTTGGAGTCACACTACCCTGACCACTTTTCTCCATTTATCATCATGTTACCTCCAGGTCCAGCTTGAGAATTTGGGTTTTCTTCACCTTGGGTCATCATCCCATACTGAAAACTGTAATCTCTGATCTTCATCAGCAAGTGCTTCAGGATCTCCTCGTTTTAGCAAGAAGGTTAGGTCATCTGCATATCACAGATTGTTAATAAACCATCCTCCAATCCTGATACTGCATTCTTTATAGAATCCACCTTCTCTTTGATTGTCTGCCCAGCATACAGATGCAGATACGGTGAGAGGATGCAACCCGGACGCACATGGCAGCTCCCTGCCAATGTACTGCTGCAGCTGTTTTTGAATGATCTTCAGCAAAGCTTTACTTGCATGGGATATTAATGATTTGGTTCAATAGTATCCTCATTCTTTGTGGGTCGCCTTCCTTTAGATTGGTCACATGTATGAATCTCTTCCAGTCGATTGGCCAAGAATCCCCCAGAATTCTTGGCATCGACTGCTCCCAGGGCTTCATCAGCTAGTTGAAACATTCCCATTCGGTGAGTGGTAGCCCAGATCTTCCCAGACAAAGCAACTCTTGGGCAACATGAGCAGCCAAGGGATCACTAAGTTTCCTTATTCAGCCTGCTGCTTCAGTGATTAAAGTGTTCAGTTGCTAATAAAATTTTTTTAATTTTAAAGTCAGTGGTTTGACCCCAATAGCCACCCTGCAGGAGGAAGATGAGGCAGTCTGCTTTTATAAAGACTCGGAGCCTGGGAAGCCCTATGAAGCAGCTGTGCTCAGCCCTATAGGGTCAGCAAGAGTCAGAATTGACATGGGCAGTGGGCTGGATCTTGATGAGCCCCATTAGTAGTCAGCTGGCACAAACAGTCCCAAGGAAGAAAAGCTCAGCGAAATTTAGTCAAGTAATGATGGCCCTTGTAGCCATAATTCCTTGTATGCTATAATTCTGGACGCTGCGCCTTTGTCCCATGTTGGAGAGCATTCTCTAATGGACAGGGGGGGGGGGAGGGGGCGCGGTTATGCAGATTAAGCCCTGACCTTAGAAGAGTGTGAATCAAGCCACCTTTGCCTCCAGAGAGCATCTGTTGACACAGACACTGTCCTCTCTCTGTTTGCCTTGGGTGGATGGGATATTTGTTCTATCATGCGTCCTCTCACCTGGAAAGCCACACGTGACTGTGCTTTGGTGGGAACAAGGAGACCTGCAGGACCTTTAGGACGTTTTTTCACTTCTAGCTTTCAACCCTGTCTTTGGCCCTCCTCTCCCTGACCTTCAAACATGGGCCTCAACAGCACCCACCACCACTTAAGACCTTGCCTCAAAGTTCCTTGAGTGTCTAAGGGATGTTGTAGCAAATTCCAGAACCCAGGGGCGGCAGGGGATAGCCTCAGGGTGGGGCAGAATAGTAGCATCTAGGGAAAGTTGGGTGTGTGGGACATCTTTAATCTCCAAATCTTGGAACTAGCCTGGTATTGATTCTTTTAAAAGGAATCGACCACGTTCTGTCCGTTTCTGGACCCTCGTTTTTCACGAATGTCTTCGGTGCTGTTGGGCATGCCGCAACACAATTCCACTAGTAAAGGGTCCCTTCAGAGAACAGGAACCCAGTTTCCCAGCTCCGGAGGCAGAAATCCTTTCTCTCTTACCTTCTCTAGGAGCCTTTGGCAGACCTGAGCTTATGGACGCATCGGCCTGTGTCTTTACAGGGTGTCCGTGTGTCCAGACTGCTCAGAAAGGATGAGGGTTAGAACCCACCCTGTTGTGGAATGACACCATCAAATAACACAACCTACTGCCTTCAAGTGGCTTCGACTCATAGTGACCCTGTAATAGGGCCGAGTAGAACTGCCTCAGAGAAGTGTCCGGAACAGTAATCTCCAACAGCAGACTGCCCCCCCCCCCCCCCCCTTTCTCCCAAAGAGTGGCCGGTGGCTCAAACGGCCAACCTTTCCCTGTGCAGCAGCTGCTTAGTCACTGGGTCCCCAGAGCACCCCCTTAAAAACTGCAGCCCAGGAAATCTCAGTGGGCACGTCTGCTCCTGTGGGGGCCTGCGGGTTCCTATACATGCTATAGGGGCAAGAAGTGAGGCATGCTGCATTCCTCACTCCCTGGCCAGGATTTGGGGATCCCGGTTCCACGGATAGACTCACCCGAGGGAGGTCTTTCATCAAAGCCAGTTCCCCTGTTGGGATGCTCCTCATCATCAGCCCGAATTCACTCTTAGAATCACGTGCCGAGAGGTGGAAGGATCCTTAGAGACCACTAGTTCGTTTGACCTTTATAGCATTGGCAAAACGGAGGCCCCAATGGGAGAAGGAACAGATCTAAGTTCACAGAGTGAAATGGCAGAGCTTAAGAGCCTAACTTCCTGCTTCCCGGTTGTAGGCTCTCGGGGTTCACAACGCCAAACTCCCTGCATCGAGTTTGACTTGCAGTGACCCTACAGGGCAGAATAGGGTTGCCGACTCAGGTTTCATCAGATAGCCTCATCTCATCTCTCTCCTACAGAGCAAGGGGTGGGTTCAAACCTCTAACCTTGTGATCAGGAGCTTTGTGCAGAGCCCACTCACTCCACCAGCAGGGCTCCTCTTGGGATTACGTGGAGGCCAAGGAGGCAAAACCCTTTCCCTGAGGACTGGGGCGAGAGCTGGTGTCTCGTCTCAGGAAGCGCCAAAGGGGGTGTGGTAGCCACTCTTTATGATAATTCGGTGGACCAGGGGCTAAGGACAAGAACCTGCAAGGACGCTCCGTGAAGAAGGAAAGACAGAGCTCGGGGCAGGGCAGCAGGGCTCCTACAACATGGGTCAGGCCCTTGCCTCTCTTCACCTGTGTTGTCCTGAACCACAGGCCAACTGATTAACAGGCACAAGCCCCTAGGAACACCCTCGTTGGTGTCCTCCTGCGCACGTGTGAATTTTTTCTCTGGTTTTCCCATTCTCCCCTACCTTCCATGACACTGGACCCCTCCACTTGAGACAGTGTCCGGGAAGGCTTCCTCCAGGGGGGAAAGGGTGGGCCTTTCACCTGAGAGACTCCCCTTGTCTGAGATCCCGAGTTTCCTTCCCCAGGGCCCCAGAGGTCAGCATCCTAACTTGCCCAGCTGCCTCGCTCTGCCTGCTCCCAACCTTGACATCCCGGAGAGGAGTGGCCGCCCGCAGGGCTTCAGCAGCAGCCTTGTACAGGGAGACTTTGTCTCGTGTGCCCCTGTCGTTATTGCTGGGCTTGCTTGAAGCAGCCGGGTTAACTCTGGTGTGGCGCGCATTTCTTTTTATCACGGGGAGTGTGTGTGTTCGGGGTTTTTTACTTGATTAGAGGCTCCCAATGCAACTTTTGTCTCCATGGTAATTGCTGAACGGGCAAGGGACTGAACCTGCTGGGGGGGTTTCTGGCCTGCCGGTGGCTTCCTGGGAGTGGTGCCAACTCCCTCAGACCAGAGGGCCAGAGAGGAGCAGGGACAAGAGGCCAGCTTGTAACTGCCGGCAGAGTTCATGGGCAGGCTTGGACTCTGCTGCTCTCGCGACAGACTCCTCGGGGCCCAGTGGTGAGCGCCCCTCAGAGGCTGGCTTCTCCGCTCATAAGCAGAGTCTGACTGGGTGCATTGTGGAGGACACTGCCGGGGAAGGGCGATTGGTTCTAAACCCTGTAAGCTCTGGCCAAAGTTACTTGTGTGCGCTGGAGCAGAGAAGATCCTCTCAACAGCTCTGAGTCTATATTACTCACTCGACAAAACATCCCCGGATTCTACCAACCCATCACTTTCTCCCCTTCCCAGGCCGGAGCGGAGTGGTGACAGGTGGGGCTGGCCCAGGCCGGATTAAACATTAATGCAATTGTCATCGCTGCCCAGGGGACCGAGTGCCCTCAGAGCGAAGATACAGAGCTGTCTGGTGGCTCAGCGCGGAGGAGCTGGTGACCTGCAGCCATGGCCCAATTTGCCCAGATCCTGGCTGAGATTGGGGACCTGGGTCGCTTCCAGATACAACTGCTGGTCCTCCTAAGTATCCCCAACTTCCTTTCGGCCTTCTACATGTTCGCGCAGGTGTTCATGGTCCTAGACGAGGCCCACCACTGCTCAGTGGACTGGGTCAAGAACCCCCCTTTTAACCTCAGCGCCCCGCTGCCGCTGAACCTGAGTGTGCCTCTTGATGCCGCCGGCAACCCTGAGAGCTGCCTCATGTTCCGGCCGCCCCCTGCCAACGCCAGCCTGGGGGACATCCTCAGCCACCGCTTCAATGAGACGCAGCCTTGTGCGAGCGGCTGGGACTATCCTGAAGGCAGGCCCCCGTCCCTCTTGAACGAGGTAAGACTGCCCTTCAGCCTGCTCTCTGTCTGTCTCAGTTCTGTCCATCCTCTGCACCTGCCCTGTGGGCGGCTGACCACAGTTGTGGCTGCTCTTCCTTCCCCCATGAGGTTGTTTGCTGTTTCCATTTGTCTTTGGCCAATCGGCCAGCTCGCGTCTCTGTCCATTGTCCTCCTGTCTGGTCTGTCTGGACAGTAGTACCTATCCTTTGGTCTGTCCCTCTCTCTGCATCTCCCTCTGCCCATCCACCCAGACACCTTTTCCACTTCTGTTTTTCTGCCCTGATCCCTTTCTTTCATATCCACCATTCCCGTCTACCTGTCCAGGTGCCTGTGTTCAGTCAGTCACACCTGTCTGCCTGGTTCCAATCTCTCTTCTGACGAGATCACTGTCCCGTGTCTACCGGCTGTCTGTCTGCCCTCCTGCCTGCTTGCCCGGGGTCTCCCGCCATGTAGGGTCTCGGCTCTGGAGCCCTCTGCCGGCCTGCCTGCCTGCCGCCCATGTACAACTCCCGTGGAAACCCCCTATTCCCTTTTGCCCACTTCATTCTCTTGAGAGAGAATGAAGCAAACAGGCAGCAAACAGAAAGCGTCCCAGGCCCAGCCACCTCGGAGAAAGAGAGGCCTTCTGAAATCATCTTAGCCTAAGGTGACCAGACGTCCCACTTTCGTGAGACAGTCCCGATTTTAACTATTCTTCCCTCATCCCGCAGCATTTTTTAATAGTCCCAATTTTTTAAAAGAATGCACAACAAGCTAGGGTACACGGTTTTCGGCTGCCATGTGGCTCTTTCGCCAAGATAGGAGTTTTATCAATGGTGTCCCGCTTTACCAATGTTAAAATCTGATCACCTTGTCTTAGCCCCACTCTGTGGCTTCCCCAAAAGTGGGACTGAGGCACAGAGGGGGCCCAGCAGCAGAGGGAGTTGGTAGTGGGGCCCCGTTCCGGGAAGCTAAGGCCTCCTGCTGTCTAGTTCCCTACCCCAGAGGGAGCAAGGTGAGACCGTGCAGAAAGCCGGGGGGCAGAGAGTCTCAGGGAGGCCCATGTTTTCTGACCTTTATGGAGGCAAAAGCTGAGGCTGTGTGGAGAAGGAGACCTGGAGTCCAGAGATTAAACATTCACTTCTAAGCATGTCACCTGCCCCTTGAGCTCTGGCAGCCCCGGGCTATGTCCTGCCCGCTCCACCACGAGAGCCCGGTGGCCCGTGGGTGGCCTCGGGTTCTAGCCCAACCTCGTTCTGTCTGGTCCTCATTGGCCTGTCCACCAGCCCCAGCATCATCCTCCATCACAGGGTCTCGTCTTCACATGCCCCAGGTGCTATGCATATGCCCACAGCTACACATCCCTGCCCCTCTGGCCAAATCCCGTCATCCTGAAATCCCACAGGACTCTGAGACCTTCCAGATGGCTCAGAGTCCACCTTAGTCCTTGTTCCGACCCCTGCACTGGGCTGCTTATAAACTCCAAGCCTGAGTAGTCCCTGTGTGTAGGGAAGATGACTCCTGGGGCCCAGGGGCAACCTGGGTCCCCTTAGAGGGGGAAAGGACTGGGTGGGCTCTGATGTCAGGAATGTGCCTCCCTCCAGGGAGGAAGGAAGCAGACAACTTCATAAAGGAGGTGGCTTAAGAGTTGATCAGCAACTGTTCTGTATCAAAAGTTTGATACAGAAGGGATGGTCTTGGCAGAGAGCAACGTCCACAAGAAAGATTGATGGCAATCAAGAAGCAGGACATGAGTCTGGAGGGCAGGAGGACCGTGGGCTCCTCAGTATGCCTGGGACAGCAAAGTGGGCAGGGCCAGGGGTGTCCAATAAGATGTTATCACCATCTATGCCTCTCTCTCCTCAGTCACCAACCCACACTGCTGGCACAGGGGTGGGGCCAGCAACCTCTCACCCTGCCTCCATCCCTTCCCCACCCTCCCACGGACTATGGCCTTCCCAGAAGTGTACGTACACTCTTGGTACTTTGTGCCCTGCACCGCATGATAGCTCCAAGCTTTGTTCTAGAGTGCAGCTCAATCAGCAGGAGACTTTCTTCTGGAGGCCAAGGAGAGCCACTGAAGGTTCCAGAATGGGGACCAGATGTGCTGGAATCTGGCAAAAGGAGGGAGGACAGGGTTTGAGAAGCCTGGGTCTTGAGGATCCCTGTGGCCTCCCCAGACAGAGACATGGACTGTAGGTTCTGGGACTGCAAGGGTGGATGGCTGCTCACACCCTCTCCATCTCTGTACACCCTGGACCACGGCATCCCCACATGAGCCCAGACAAGCTTTGATACCTCTCTAAGCTTCTGACCCTGCTGCTGTTCCTGGGATTGGTGGCATTGCATGAAGTCAGGCGGAGAATTCTGTGAGCATAAGGGTTTGTCAGCTGCTGCAATGGGGAACTCCTGGCCAGGGTGACAGCCATGCCCTCAGACCACTGGGATGTCTTGTGTGTTAGGCCGGATTGACTGGAGAAACAAAGCCAGGGATATAGGTCTAAGAGAGAACTTTCTATCAAAGAGCAATTGTATAGTAAGAAAACATTCCAACCCAGTCCAGATCAAGTCCATAAGTCCGATATTAGCCCATACATCCAGTACTAGTCCAAAAATCCTCCTACAGACTCACGCAGTCACACAGGAAGATCACAGGCCAGTGGGTGCAAAGTCTTGTGGATCCAATGGTGGTGGAAGCATCTCAGCCCTGGCACAGGTCTCCACGTGGCTCCTCCAGCTCTCCGAGTGTGGCTTCTCAACAGGAAGGTGAAGTAGAGAGAGGGGCTCTCATGTCTCCATGTGGCTTGTCCACGGGAAGAAGAAGGCAGAGAGAGAGAGGACGTTCCCAGAATCCTCACAAGAAGGCCACGCCCACAAGGAGGCATCATCAGGCTGTGACCTGATTGACAGACTAGACTCCACCCCTGACACTTGTTTATCCAGTTGACACGAAATTGTGGAACTACCACACTATCACCTGCTGTGAGCTCCGTGAGCACAAGGACTAGCGCATCCTCATCCGAACCTCATGTGCGAAGAGCTGCCTGGGTGACGATCCCTGTACTAAGAAGGCTACCCACCGCTGTGCAGGGGATTCTAACAGAACGGCCCAATAGGACAGCAGGAACCAACTGCCTGACCAGGTTTCCTAGGCTGTACCCTTGATGGAAGCAGACTGCCACCGTTTTCTCCCACGGAGGGATTGGTGGGTTCAAACGGCTGGTGTTTCCAGTGCTTAACTCCTGCGCCACCGGGACTCCTGGGCTAAACCTCTGGTGATGCCCTTACGTCCATCAGGAGATACTGTATATTCTCTTTGACCCCCTCAGGAACCTGAGCCATAGATCGGCTCACACACCAACCTCTCACAGTTACTCAGTCCTGACTCTGGAGCCCGGTGAGAGAAGAAAGCCTTTATCAGTATTGTTTCCTCTGATTAGGACCCTGCTCTCAAGACAATCAGTGGCTTCTGGTTAAACCCAACCGGACAGAAGTAGATGGCACAAGTTCAAGTCCTCTGTCCTGGCCTGGCCTGTTTTGTTCATTACCCAAGTGCAGTTACAGTTAATCATTTGACACTTATGGAAATTCTTACCAATTAACAGTTTTCCTTGAGAAAAAAAGTGGGAACTCACTGGTAGCTCCTAGATAGCTTCGTGTCTTGCTGAAGATTAAACAGAGGGTGGCTGGCTCGTTGGCTAAGGGCATTTGTTCTTTCACCCAGCCAGCCAGTCAGTAAATATTCTCTGAGCCTTCAGTTCATCTCACCCCCCTGGTGGCACAGTGGTTCTGCATTGGGCCGCTAACCTCAAGGTCAGCAGTTCAAAACCACCGGCGGCCGCTCCTAAGGAGAAAGACAGGGCTTTCTACTCCTGTAAAATAGTCATAGTCTCGGAAGTTCACAGGGGCAGTTCTACCCTGCCCTGTCGGGTCGCTATGAGTCAGCATCAAGTCCACGACAAGGAGTTTGGTTTGGTTGGTTTGTGCTCTGCACTCATTGCTTAACCCAGGGGATCTCCACCTTCCTCAAGCCGCCACCCTTTCATGCAGCTCCTCATGTGGTGGGGACCCCCAACCATCACATTACTTTCGTGGCTCCTTCATCACTGTCAGTTTGCCACTGCGATGAATCGTCATGTAAATATCTGATAGGCAGGATGTATTTTCATTGTGACCAATTGAACATCACGAAAGCATGGTGATTCATCACAAAACAATATGTAACTATATACTGTGAAATATTTGTTTCTAATGACAAATATATAAAACTGTGTCTGGAAGCACGGTGTGGCACAGGTAACAGTCTTCTGCATGTGGGCGGACCAGCCCGGAGACGGAGAGAGGAGCGGTGTCTGGGTTCCTGAGACCGTGGGAAAGATGTGTTTGCCGATGGTCTTAGGCAACCCCTGTGAAAGGGTCATTTGCCCCGCAAAGGGGTCGAGACCCACAGGTTGAGAACCACTGGCTTAACCTCTCCAGCCTCTGTTTCCTCCTCTGTGAACCGGAGATTTGCAAAGCCAAGGACGGTGGTCAGAATGCTATGGGATAAGGCACTTCACACAGTTCCTGTCCCAGGGCAAGCATGCCGCAGGTGTACGCCCCACTGGGCCTCCATGCTCGTGAGCTCTGGGGGAGAGCTCACCTACGCTGCTCCGCTCGGAAACACTGTTGGCTTGAGTTGTCTGCCTGGACGGAATGCAATGGATGAGTGTGCAGAGTAACCTGGATACACCTATGTTCCCCGCTGGGTTTCCCAACCTGTCTCTCCGTTAGGTTTTGTCTGTGGGTCTGTTTCTCTCTGTGTCCTAACTTCCTTCCTGGGGGTGGGGGGTGGGGGTCATGTAAAGGCTCCTTACAATCCAAACTGCCTGTGGACGAGGGACGTTTCCAGGGGTGGCAGTCATCGGGAAGACTGGGCCTATCCCACTGCTGCATCCTTGAATGTGTCCAGAATTTGTACACGGTGTCTTTTGAAAAACAAATACAGATGAGAACTCCCTGCCCTTAGGTCAATGCTGACTCATAGTGACCCCCCCTGTGGGTTTCTGGGACTGTGACTCTTTATGGGAGTAGAAAGCCCAGTTGTTCTCCCGAGGGGCTGCCGGTGGTTTCTAACTGCCGACCATGCAGATCGCAGCCCAATGCCTAACCACTACCCCTAGGGCTTTCTATACATAGTGTCTTTGGGCCAAACAAAACAGCTAGCAGTTCATTTGTTATCACTTAATGCCATCTGAACAATGAGTCCTGATGTCCTAACTTAGAGCTGTTTGAAGGACACATACTGCTGAATCAAAAGACAAATGTTCTAATTTAATTCTTTTCTTTTTAATCATTTTATTGGGGGCTCATACAACTCTTACCACAATCCATACATCAATTGTGTCAAGCACATTTGTACATTCATTGCTCTCATCATTCTCAAAACATTTGCTCTCCACGTAAGCCCCTGGCATCAGCTCCTCATTTTTCCTCTTCCCTCCCAGTTTCCCGCTCTCTCATGGACCCTTGGTAATTTATAAATTATTATTTTGTCATGTGCAGTCTTTATTTCTAGCTGCTATCACAAACCACCACCAGTAGGTGGTGAGAAGCAAGACGGACTCACAGCCAGAAACTCAAAAAGTCCGGGTGTCAGCCGACCAGACTCTCTGAGAGGCTGGGGGAGAATTTGCCCCTAAGCTAAGGTGACCAGACGTCCCGCTTTTGGCCGGACAGTCCCGATTTTTTAACAATTTGTCCTGCATCCCGTGACGTTTTAAAAAAGTCCCAATCACAGGGCAAGATATGACAAAATAACAATTCATAGATTATCAAGGGCTCATGAGGGAGGGGAAAAATGAGGACCTAATGCCAGGGGCTTAGGTGAAGAGGAAATGTTTTGAGAATGATGAGGGCAACGAATGTACAAATGCACTTTACACAATTGATGTATGTATGGATTGTGATAAAAGTTGTATGAGCCCCTAATAAAATGATTAAAAAAATTTTTTAAAAAGGTCCCACTTTTGGAAAGAATGCACGACAAGCGAGGGAACCGTGGGAGAACGGGAAGGGAATGTACGTTTTTCGGCTGCCATGTGGCTATTTCGCCAGGATAGGAGTTTTATATTACTTTTGTTACTTTTATAATGTTAAACTTTAGTAATAACAAATAATTGTTGAGAACTGATTATCGAGACCTGTTTATCAAAGTTCGCATTGTTGATCAGTTGTTAGAATTCAACCACCATTGTTTGGACTTAATGAACAATGGCATTTTTTGGCATTGGCAACGACGAAAACATTTTGTAACTGTCTCTCAGACGGTACACATCGTACTGCGTGCTAGTGGTAGTTAAGCAAGTGATATCAACAAATCAGCAATTCAGATAATTTAGGTAAGTTATTTATTTATTTATTTCATAAATTTTCTTGAATTTAGCCAACAGTACTCGTATTATTTATATTTTATAGTGGCGGCAAAATGATATAGACCAAATTTTTAATCAAGAAACCCCCCCCACGGTCAATGGTGTCCCGCTTTACCAATGTTAAAATCTGGTCACCTTACCCTAAGCTGATCTGTTCTCATGCTTCTGGTTTTGCTAGGAACCCTGGGCTTTCCTGGGCTTGTTGTGGTCACATGACTCCCTCTCCGCCTGTGTGGGTGCGCAGTGTTCTCCCTGCCTGTCTGTGTCCCTGGCCCTCCTGCTCACCTCAGCTGAGTTGCCATATTGGGTTAGGGTCCATCCTTAATCCATTGTCTCCAAAAGCTGCTTTGTAGATAAGGTCACATTCATGGGTCAATGCCGACTCGCAGCACCCTGTAGGGCAGCACGTCACTGTCCCTGGGGGGTTCTGCGACTGTAACTCAACTGACGTAGGAAGCTCAGTCATTTCCCCAAAGAGCGGCTGCCGATTTTGAAAGGTTGGGTCCCACGTTGATTGTTCATGCAGCACTTGCTTCTGATCAAAGCAATCGCCAAGAACAGTGTCTGTCGCACAGGGACGGGGTTGTGTTAGCAAGATCTGTGAGCTGTCCTGAGCTAGGATGTTGCCCGAGCCTGGACCAATGGCAACGACCCCAGTGTTCTCCTTTCCATTGAAAAATATCCTACTGCGCCCCATGAGTTCACGGGGGTGCCTCGGCACACAGTTTGGGAGCTGCAAATCCTGAGCAAGGTGCAAAGAAGGCAGAGAGCAAGAAGACATGGCCCCAGCCCTGCCCTTGACTCTCATCTCCCCATGCTTTCCTCAGTTTGACCTGGTGTGCGATCGGAAGTATCTGAAAGAGACCTCGCAGTCCATCTACATGGCCGGGCTCCTCCTGGGCTCTCTCATCTTTGGGCCCGTCTGTGACCGGTAAGACCCCTGCCCGGCTCTCACCTGACCTCTCATGCTCTTAGGCAATGTGCCCAGGGCCTAGTTTCCCCCTGCGCCCCTCACGCAAGACTCCAGGACGCAAGCGATGTTTCCTTGGCCCTCAGATGAGGTCCCAGGGAAAACTGTCCTCCTCCAAGCAGAGATCCTGGGGCAGGATGGATCTTGCTGGCTTCTACCCTTCGGATCACTGCCCCGGCAGACCCGCCTCGTTGCTCCCCCAGGGTGGGTCGCAAGATGACCATCTTGGTACAGCTGCTGCTCTTTACCCTCATTGGCCTGGGCACGGCCTTTATGCCCAGCTTCGAGCTCTACACAGCCCTGCGCTTTGCCGTGGCCACCGCTGTCGCCGGCTATGCCTTCAGCAATGTCTCCCTGCGTGAGTGTGTCCAGGCCCTTGGGACGTGAGCCACGTTTGTCCGCTGTGGCGGGTTCCCAAAAGCCCAGGGCTTCCTGTTGGACCTTCTAGGGTTGCCAGGGAGCTTCCAGCTCTGGCAGGGTGGGGCCTGGGGAGAGGCAAGAGGTGGGTGTGCAGCCTCTGGAGATCTGGGTCCCAGCCCCTCTCTTCCCACAGTGACCGAGTGGGTGGGGCCTTCCAGGAGGACCCAGGCCGTGGTCTTGGCCCATTGCACCTTCTCCCTCGGGCAGATGGCACTAGCAGGACTAGCCTATGGCGTCCGCCACTGGCGGCTCTTCCAGATCGCGGGCACCGCTCCAACCTTGCTGCTCTTCTTCTACATCTGGTGAGGAGGCATGTCCCAGGGCCAGGCCGCCACCTGGCCCCTGGGCTGTGGTGGGGTTGGAGCGTCCACCCACCTTCACCCCACGAGACATAGATGGGCCAAAACGCGGGACGTGGAGCCGAGGGCTGCCGTGTGGAGTTCCGGGTGCCCTGGACCAGCCCCCCAAGGCTCCTTGGAGGAAGAGGTTGGTTCCAGGGGACTCCAGGGGGACCCCATGGTCACAGCCACTCCTGGCTGACAGGGTTCTCCCGGAGTCTGCCCGGTGGCTCCTGATCAAGGGGAGGACAGAGGAGGCAAAACAACTTATCCAGAAGGCAGCTGCGGTCAATAAGAGGAAACTGTCCCCAGAACTCCTGAATCAGGTACCGCCAGCAGCCCTGGGCCAGCTCTGCCGCCAACCAGACCCGCACAGAGCTCTTGGCGGGTCCCTCATGCTCCATCTCCCTCCAGCTGGTCCTCGAGAAGACGGGCCCCTCAGGGAATGCCCTAGATCTCTTCCGACACCCCCAGCTCAGGAGGATGACTCTGATCCTTTTCTGTGTCTGGTAAGTGCAGGAGGGCCCATCCCATCCCCGTCCCGAGGACCAAGCCCAGGCTGCCCTGGCCTGCTGTGTCACTGGACTGGTGGAGTGGTGGCCTGCTTCAATGGCCTGTCTGGGAATAACAGTCTCTCCCCGTGGGGCTTCTGTCTCCTATGGTGACTCCTGCCTAAGGCAGGTCTCCTCCCTCTTGGTAAGGCGGCGGCCCATCCCCCAGCAGTGACAGGGACTCTCGGGTGATTTGCAGGTTTGTGGACTCCCTGGTGTACTTTGGCTTGAGTTTCCAAGTAGAGGACTTTGGCCTTGACATCTACCTGACACAGCTCATCTTCGGAGCCGTTGAGGTACCTGCTCGCTATTCCACCATGTTCATGATGGAGAAGTTGGGTCGCAAGTGGAGCCAGCTGGGGACCCTAGTTGTAGGCGGCCTCATGTGTATCATCATCATCTTCATCCCAGCAGGTACCAGAGCCTAGATCCAATGGATGTCATTTCCCTGTCAGGGGTGGGGGTGGCGGCTTCCCCAGGTTTGGGAGCAGAGGGGTGAGGGGTTTGGGTGGACAGGGCAGTGCTGATCAGTGTCTCCCCCCCAGATCTGCCTGTGGTGGTCACCGTGCTGGCCGTGGTGGGGAAGTTTGCCACGGCTGCGGGATTCACCATCTCCTATGTCTACTCTGCTGAGCTCTTCCCCACCATTATCCGGTAAGGGCTGCCGGGGCAAGCTCCACTCCTCCGCTCCCGAGCCCCTGTGCTGGGTCAGCCCTTCCCCTGCCCTCCCCACCACCAGTCCACAAATAGCTTGCGCAGTGCGGCGGCAGCACTGGTGGGGTCAAGGCCATTCAAACTCCAGTCTGAGCTCTCGCGTTGTCCCCAGACTTGAGGACAGAGAAGTAGGTCGTGTCCTACCAGGTCAGGGCTGGAACGTGGAGTGTGAGTGGCTTCAGAGAAGAAACGCGTGGGTGCGGGAGGTGGGGGAGCACGCAGGGGGCAGAGGAGAGGTGTTGCTTTTGTATGCCTGTCTCCCACACGTCTGTCCAGTCTCAGGGAAGAGACCCGAAGGTGGGACAGACAGGGCCTACAAGGGGACTGTAAGCTCAGTGCGTGCAGCAAGGCGGAGGTGGGGGACCCATCAAAGCTGGAGAACCTGCAGACCATTGAGGTCCCCCTCGAGGCGGGGCTGATCAGTCCGGGTTGGCTTCCCCGCAGGCAGACGGGCATGGGCCTGGTGGCCATCTTCTCCAGGATCGGAGGCATCATCACGCCCCTGGTGATCCTGCTGGAGGAATACTACGCGGCTCTCCCCATGCTCATCTATGGCATTCTCCCCATCATCGTGGGCTTCCTCTGCGTCCTGCTGCCAGAGACGCGGGGCCAGACCCTGAGGGACACCATCGAGGACCTGGAGCAGGACTCCCACCCACGGTGAGATGTGTCCTTGTTTTCGGAAGGCTGGGGGCCCTTCCCCGTGGCCTCCCTGTTAGCCCGTTGTTGCTTGGAGACCTTGGGTGGAGCCTGCTGGAGCCCTCGTCATCAGACTGGCTTTGCCTTCAGATTCCTCCTTACTTGGGGAAGGGGTAGTGCCGGGGACTACCCTGGTCCAGCCAATGACAACGTTCTACTCCCTCCAGGTCCCTGACGCCAGCACCCTCAGAAAAGGGGACAGTAGCCACAGAGAGCGCGTCCAGCCCAGAGGTGGCCTATGGGAGCAGCACATACTTCTAAAGGTGACTTCTAAACACCAGTCCTACATTAGCAGGAGAACTGCCTCAACATTCCCCCCTGGGCATGGCTGTGACCGCTGAAGACCCAAGGGCAAGGCCAAGCTTGATTGTGGAGACCAGACCCCACGGATGAGCCCAATTCCAGAATCAGATGAGACCAGACCCCGCTTCTTCTTCACCTTTTTCAGCTCCCGAACCCCTGACAGGCATCCCATCCCCAATGCTCCATTTGGGTTTGGGTCTGGGTCTCATCTCGGGCTTCACCTATGCTCTGGGAATGTTGTGGGGGTTACAGCTCTCTTGCTCCTTTTGATTAGGACCCCTCCCACCCCATGCTAGGAACAGAAAGCCTTTCCCAGTCTGTAGACACGGGAGAAGGACGACTGTGGAGTGGTGGGCTCTAGCCAAGCAGGCTAAGGATAAAAAGGGCTAGGAAGAAAGGAAGCCGGTCCTTTCTCGTGCCTGAACCAGCCCTTTGGCTAAGAATCAGCCCCATCGGACATTGGATACCACTGAGAGCAGACTTGTAGTCCACTCAAAGACCCTTCAACCCCTTGGTCTACACTCGCCTCATGCCTCTCTGTGACTCAGGGATCAGCAGTGAGGAAGGTGGGGGGGGGGGGTAGGGGGGGTGTTTGTTTTCTCCTTGGCCATTCCTCCCCCTCAAGCTCTGCTACTTCTGGCTTCCACACCAGGGTCTACACCAGGCAAGGGGGAAGGACAGAGGTCTTCCTTCATGCTGCTGTTTTTAGCTCTCCCTCTAGGTGTGTACTACTAGCCCAGTTACATAATCTCCTGTCAACTTGCAAAGGGGTGATCTAGCTGCTCAGTGAGGCCTTTCCTATATGGCCTTACACTTCTCTGCTTGTCTCCCTGCTGGCAAGCCACATGGAGCTACACTGATGCAGCCAGAGCCCTGGAGCTGGAGGAGCCATGTGGAGACCCATGCCAGCTCTGAGATGCTTCCACTGCCACTGGATCCATAAGACTTTCCACCCACTGGCCTGTGATCTTCCTGCACTCAGTATCATTGCATGGCTGTATGAGTCTAAAGAGGAACTCAGGGACCAGTATCAACATTGGGGTAATATTGGACTAATAGACTTGATCTGGACTGGGATATTTTCTTAATGTACAATTGCTCTTTGATATAAAGTTCTCTCTTACACACATATGAGTGTCTCTGGATTTATTTCTCTAGTCAACCGGACTAATACACTGATCACTAGTTTGTCCGCTAGAACAGGATTCTCAAATCTGGCTCTTCTAGAGGAGCGTACTGCTGGGTTTTCAGAAATCCTCTGCATTGTTGAACTTGGGGCCTTTCTTCAGCTTCTGCTCCCCACATAGTCTCTCTTGCTGTTGGCATTCCCTTACCTGAGAAGATACAGCCCTCTGGGATAAGGTCCCATCAAGCTACCAAAAGCCTATGAGAACCACGTGCATCTTGACCCTATGCAAGGTGGGGAAGCACTGACCAGCCATTGGCACCTGTCTTTGCCCTCAAAGTTCTTTCTAGCCAACCTTGCTCCAGGGAGTGGGGTTGGTCTCTCTCTCTCTCTCTCTCTCTCTCTCTCTCTCTCTCTGTAAGAGAGAGTTTTATATCCAAGAGTCATTGTATATTACGAAAACATCCCAGCCTAATCCAGATCAAGTCCTGTGTTGCCCATAAGTCCGATACTAGTCCACGAATTCCTCTCAGACTCACACAGCACAGCAATGATGCTGAAGGCAGGAAGATCACAGGCTGGTGGGTGGAAAGTCTTGTGGATCCAGTGACGGTAGACATATCTCCACATGGCTCCTCCAGCTCCTGAGAGTGTCTCCTGAACAGCAAAGTGAAGCAGAGAGAGAGGGAGGCAGTCTCTCCTTTTCACAGGCACCTCCACTCCCTTAGAGAGCTTCTTTTAGATGCTCCCTCTTCTTACGTAGCCTAGGAGTAGTTGTGCGTGAATGAGCCGGGTTATCTGCCTTCACTCTCCCTTCACCTTATCCTGCTGGCATTGCTAGAAGCAAGTCACTGCCTCCAAGGTCATTATTCTCATGAGGGTCTTCAACTGCCCAGTCTCCCTACCAGCTTTTTCTAGTCAGTTTCCCAACGCCTGTCAGAGACTAGTTGTAATCTCCACTCTCTGCATACCTTCTCATCCAACTCCTACCTCTTAGCACACTGCCATCAGAAAAGGGAGAAGCCCTTATTTGGCAATTCTCCAAACTCCCCACGGCCAAAGCTTCCACCCTACTCACTCTTGTGGTGGGAGTGCAGCCCCTGAGGGAGCGAAGCCTTAAATCCTGCCTCCACTCCGCACACCCCTCCCCACACCCCCCAAGATCCAGAGCTCCTGAAGGTCGAGCCTATTTCTCTTTCTTCTTCCAACTCCCCTAGCTAAGGCAAATAAGGGGTTCCAGGTGAGGAGACTCTGAAAGGATTTTGCTCTCACCCCCACTATGGACAAGGCTTTCAAATGCCCAGTTTCTGGGCTGGTGAGAGACCCAGCTCCTTCTATGGGGTCTCCTATTCCTGTGGGTCCCCAGCGGAGGAGCCAGATGGGTTGGTCACAATCAGCTCAGGCAGAGGGTCCCTGAGTCTGAGCCGGGGCAGAGCCTTGATGCTACAGGACCAGGCAGGGCCCAGCCTCTCGGGTACTCCGAGTATGCCCAGGACTGCCCAGGGCTGGCCTGCAACCCCGCAGTGTAGAGGTGTTAGCCCCAACTTCACCTTGGCTGCCAAACTTCGACCTCCAAGTTTCTGATCTGAGACATGACAGGTATGTGGGAGACAGGCCCACGAGCGCCCTCACGTCTAAGCATGCAGCCCAAGTGTATCTAAGGACGCTGACATTTATTCTCCTTCCTGGTATCTCGTCAAGGAAAATAGACATGACCTCATGATTTTTTAATTTCTCTATAAAGACAACCTTTGGAGCTGGTGTGATATTCATTCTGTGAACTCGTATCTACAAGAAATCATATGTTGCTGGAAATTAGACTGTGAACCTTCATTTCACTGAGCTGATTGGAAACTCAACCCTGCCCCTGATTGAAGTTCTCCTCTACCCAGAGATTGCGTCAGAGCCCTGGGGTCTCGTGTCAACAGGGACAAGACGTCCTCCCCACCCTGGTCATCCATCTGCCTCCCTGATAGTGGGTATACCCATGGTGCCAGCCTGCTTGGGCCCACCAGTTCCAGAAGTGCTGTTGCAGAAGAGGAGGGAGGGGGTGGGGGGGCTTAGGGCCAGCCACTCGGTTGGCCAGGCCCCTGGGGGGAGGCCTGGTGACAGCTGGAGGATTACAGTGCTGTGGCCACAGAGAAGTGGAAATTAAAGTTGTGCAAAACAGACATGTGCATCCATTGCCAGCAATTCAAATCCAACGCACAGAGACCCTGTAGGACAGAGCAGAACCTCTGTGGGAAACTCACACTGAGGGAAATGTGACAAGGACTATCTTCCCTAACTTATGACGAGGACTGTAGCCCCTAATTTATAAATCTGGAAAGCTGGTCTTCCACGGTAGGAAAGCCTCCACTTTGGTAAGTTAGAGGTCAAGTCCAAGTACATGATCCTGCTTTAAATATCATTCCCACAGATTCTCCCTTAACAGCTATGCTGCCTTAAAGTGAGCATCTGGTTGATTACATCTCTATAGAAGCAGACATGATCCTTTTGCTCTTCCCCTCCCCTTCCTGCCGTGACGCACAGCCCCCCCTTAAACCTTCCCCCAATGCAGGTATTACGTTTCTTAACCTGTGAGCTCAAAGACCTTAATGTAGACACCACCCACCTTGTGACGCATCTAACTACTGAATATGCATCTTTTCAGGCTACCTTATAAATATTCTAAGATAGTAAAGGTTCGCGCTCTCTCTCTACCTCTCTCTCTCACTTCCCCCAGTTCCACGTGGTCCATCAAGAGGGGCTGAGGTGAGCATGGTACCCTAAAATGTGTCTGACTCCTCTATTGTATTCTCTCTCCGATCTTTCCCACCCTCGATGATTTTGCTATCATCTCTATATATTACCGGCGTACATTGTGCCTCCTGGCCCTTCAGTTGTCGGAGGCTGATTTCCTGTGACACCGCTCCTTTGGGGTTTCCAGTTTCTGTCCATCTTACCGAGCAGACCGCCTCATCTTTCTACTGTGAAGCAGCTGGAGCCGCCGCCCACCGCTGAGCACTTCAGTCACTGCGCCACCAGGCTCCTTAGAGTAGGCCCTTGCGCTTTCCCACAACGAACAGTCATTTCAGGGCCCACCCAGTTCTTTCATTCAAAAGACTGGCGCCTGAGCTCCCCAAGTCACCAGAAGCTGGCATCAGTGACTTTGAGGGGAGACGGACCAGATGCAAACAGCTGTGACCCGCGCTGGTTGGCAGGGAAGTGTGGCAGAGGGACAGGGCAGAGAACGTGAGCAGAGCCACGGCATTGCTCATGAAAACTTGAGACACAACTACGAACGGGTCTGTCTGGAAGACGTGGAGAGGGTTTCCTTCAGGGGGAGCACGAGAATGTCCTTAACAGCGAGAGAACTCACAGGGCCAGCTCACGTGAGGATTGTCTCAGCCTTACCTCATTTTTGGTCCCTCCTGTCACCACGTGTGCCCCAGAATGGAATGCTGCCTCACACAATTCCCACCCCACCCTGAGAACCTCTCCACTCCATTGTGACACGACTCCCCGGCTACCAAAGAAACCCAAGGGTTCTGCTTCCAAGAGCCAGCAGGAGCATGGATTGTGGTCAGGTGGGCCCCGGCTTGGCCTCGGCGTGGGCCTATCTCCAGGGAGGAGGGCCTGGGAGGGTGTGGAGGGTGGCAATGATGATGACCCGCAGCTATTGTGGGGCCGCATTCTCAGCACAGATGTGCACAGGAGCCTCCCTGGACTTATCCAGCTGTGGGCAGTGTGTGGAAGGACCAGGCCACCCCAGGCCACCTTCACAGGAAGCGTGAGTTCTCAGGTGTGGCACCTGGCCATTCCCTGCCCTCAGGTGGAACGCTGCTCCTGGACAATGCACAGCCTCCTTTTCCAGGTCCCCATGTCTTCGTTTGTACATGGAGAACCGCTTGCCTTGGGCAGTGGACCTGGCCAGGGACCTTTGGGGTCATTTCAGGGGAATAAGGGTTCTAGAGCTTTGCGGATCACCAGGCCCCTGCAGGTACTCAGGTGATACTGAGGCCAGGCTTGCCGGGCCAGGCTATACAAGTTGGCTCCAAACCTGGAGGCCAAATCTCTATGAGGAAACCAAAGCACCCCTCCCTCCCATCATGTGATGTCGCTCTTGTCCACTCTAGCCCCCTGGTAATCCTTGGGATGTTGGAGCAAAGCCCTGCCACCCTCTGCGGATAACCTCTTCTTTTGAGAGGTAGCTTTGGCCTTGTTCCTGAGCCTTAGTGGAGACCGAATACCTAACCATGAGCCACCAAGTTGCATTATAGTAATGTCTTCTTTTGGGTTGCTGGTTTTTAAATCACGTTTATTGAGATATGGTGTATCTATTTTTTGGTAAATTTTGGTAAATGTTGACGCTTTCTGAATGTAGAGTTCAGTGAGTTTTGAAAATTGGATGTTGTACTAGTCTGGGTTGATTAGAGAAACAAATCCAGAGACACTCATATGTGTATAAGAAAGAGCTTTATTTACTAGAGTAATTATATATTAAGAAAACATCCCAGTCCAGTCCAGACCAAGTCCATAAGTTCGATATTAGCTCATATGTGGGATACCAGTCTGTAAATTCCTCTTCAGGCTCACACAACACATGTAATGATGCCAAATGCAGGAAGATCATAGGCCAGCGGATGGAAAGTCTTGTGGACCCAGTGGTGGTGGAAGCATCTCAACGGTGGTGTGGGTCTCCACGGGGCTCCTCCAGCTCCAGAGCGCTGGTTCCATCAGCATAGCTCCATGTGGCTTGTCAACAGGAAAGTCTCACAGGGA